AATGGACTTGACACAATGGATGTATGTATGGATGTGATGAGTTGTACAAGCCCCCAATAAAATGATTTAAAAGAAGACTGAACATCAAATCTTAATTTGATTAGTTATTTGGTTCTTTCTGAAACCTGCCCATTAGTGTCATTTGCTGGTTTTTATTAGAGCATTTATTTGTTAGGACCTCTTTGTATATTAGTTGTTCATTTTAACATCACATATTTTACAAAGGCAAATCTAATTTTTGCCTTATACTACCTTTAAGCCTTATTTGGGATTATTTAAGACAAAAACCAATACATTTTAAGTAGTCAATTTATAACTTTTCATTGTGGTTTTTCTCAATTTCACCTAATGATTAGAAACATTTTCCTATTGCAGAATATTCACTCACATTGTCCTTTTTAAAGAATTTTATTATTTCTCTCTACAAAATACAGGCTTATAAAAATTAAACATAAATAAATAAATTTGGGTGGTTAATCTTTCATGAGTTTTCCAATCCAAGAACAAGGTTTCTCTTTAGTCATTCAAGTTTTTCCTTTGGTGATCATCTGTGGAGATTCATCATTTTCTTCGTATGGGTCCTGCATACTTATTAAATTTGCTAAAAAGAAAACAAAAAAAGCCCCACCTATTTTCTTAATTCTCTTTAGAATAGGATCTCTTATTTCATTGTATTTTCTGATGGTTAATGGTATAAAACAAAGTTAGTTATTTTTGTGTTACATTTTAACTGGTTATCAATTACTGATTGTAAATTGAATAAACAGAACAATGTTTCCAAGTGAAGACTCTCAGTTCACATGCCTCTCAGGATTTTCCACCAGGGTGAAGCCAATGATACTTGATCCAAATCAGCATTAGCCTTGGGAGTTCTCTTCATCTTCCTTGGTCTTAGGAATTTCCCTCACTGTGGACATTCTGATGCTGAGTAAGCTGGAAGCTAAACCTAAAGGCTTTCCCGCAAACACTACACACATAGGGTTTCTTCCAAGTGTGGACAGTCTGATGTATAATGCAGTCAGAACTATAACTGAAGCCTTTGCCACACTCCACACATCTGAAGAGTTTCTCCCCAGTGTGGCTTCTCTGGTGCCGAATCAAATGGGCATTAACATGGAAAGCTTTTCCACACTCCTTACACTGAAAGGGCTTCTCTCCGGTGTGGATTCTCTGGTGCACAATGTAGTCAGAACTGCAGCTAAATGCTTTCCCACACTCCACACACTTGAAAGGTTTCTCACCAGTGTGTACTCTCTGGTGCCTCGTCAGTTTGGCATTGATACTGAAAGCTTTTCCACATTCCTTACATTGGTATGGCTTTTCTCCAGTATGGATTCTGTGATGATCCAGCAGGTTTCTCTTAGAAGTGAAACATTTCCCACACTCGTTACATTCAAAGGGCTTCTCCCCCGTGTGAATTCTCTGATGCTGAATTAATTTGCCATTAACATTGAAGGCTTTTCCACACTCGTTACATTCATAGGGCTTCTCCCCAGTGTGGGTCCTCAGATGCTGCCGAAGCTGAGAATTACACCGGAAGGCTTTCCCACAGTCATTGCACTGAAAGGGCTTCTCCCCAGTGTGGATCCTTTGATGCTGGATTAATTTCCCTTTGACACTAAAGGCTTTTCCACATTCATTACACTCATAGGGTTTCTCTCCGGTGTGGACTCTTTGATGCTGAATGAGCTTTGCATTACTGTGGAAGGCTTTGCCGCACTCCCTACACTGATAGGGCTTCTTTCCAGTGTGTACGCTCTGGTGCTGCCTAAGCTGGGAGCTGCACCGGAAGCTTTTCCCACACTCAGTACACTCATAGGGCTTCTCTCCAGTGTGGATTCTCCGGTGTTGAATTAACTTTGCATTGACATTGAAGGTTTTCCCACAATCATTACACTCATAAGGCTTCTCCCCAGTGTGGACTCTCTGATGTGCAATATATGCTGAGCTACAGCTGAAGCCATTTCCACACTCCTTGCACTGATAGGGCTTCTCCCCAGTGTGGACTCTCTGATGTCTATTTAGACTCCCATTAACACTGAAGGCTTTCCCACACACCTTGCACTGGTAGGGTTTCTCCCCACTGTGGACTGTCTGGTGTGTAATATAATGGGAACTGTAACTAAAGCTCTTCCCACACTCCGCACATTCGAAGGGCTTACCTCCACTATGAAGTCTCTGATTCCATGTTAATTTTGCGTTAACATTGCAGGTGTTGTCACAGTCCTTCAATTGATAAGACTTCTCTCCAGTGTTGCTGTCTTGATGCTGATTACACTGAGAGTCACACCTAAAAGTCTCCGCTAATTCTTCACATTTGAAAATGTCCCCCTCAGTATCAGCTGTTTCATGCTGAGTAAACTTCTTGTCAGCACTGAAGACATTCCCTGGTCCTGCACATGCGAGGAGCTGCTCTCCAAGAGAGACGGTACGACAGTGATACAAATTTGGGCTTTGACTAAAATACTCCTCCTCCCTAGGGCTCGTCTCATGTTTTACAGTCTCAACAATGATACCGCTGTCTTCTGTTTTCACACTTTCTGCCACATGGACTTCCTGATGTTTCTCTAACATAGAGGCTTCTGAAAAGTCTGTTTCCTGGGGCAAGTCCTTCTGCAGTTTAAGTAATGTGCTATCATTTGTTTCACACATTTCCTTTGTCAAGTTACTATCAGTCTGGATATAAGCATCTACAATAAAAAATACAAAATATTACGTAAGAACCATGTTAAAAAACAGAAAAGAATTTTGCTAGATGAATTAAAGGATCATAATAATCAAGGGGTCTTTAAAATCACCAAACTAGGTATGTAGCTGGTAAAACAACAGCATTCTGTTAGCACAGTGGGTTATGTGGTAGGCTGCTAATCATGAGGTTGGTGGCTCAAACCCACCAGCCAGCCTGTGGGAGAAAGATGAGGCTGTCTGCGCCCATAAGGATTTATAACCTCAAAACCTCACAGGAGCAGTTCTACTATGTCCGACAGGATCACTATGGTATGAATTGAAATTGATTTGATGGCAGTGAGTTTCGTACTTTTTTCTTTTGGAAAAGAATAAAACATATCTGATCTCCTTCAGCTAAATAAGGGAAAAGGAGAATGCAATTCCATACAACCTTATTTCTATGAGGTAGCAGTCAGACTTGGCTCTACTCTCCAACTACTTTTACCCTATTCTGACACCAACATTCCTTCCACCACTACTTCTCTACTGGGTTTGATAATCTGTTGCAATGGCTACACAGAACTGACAGACAATACAAAAAATTATAAGGGCTTATTAGAGAAGTTAACAGGTCACAAGTCGAGACTAGCAAACAGTCCATTTATCTACAGTCACATCTCCTCAGCCATGCCAGCAGGTTCCCTGCTCTGATCCTCAACCTCCTAGCTACTTGAGCAGTTGTTATAAAATTCCTTTAGTGCTGAGAAATGCCCACATGGACATCCCACTCTGCAAGCCAGCCTCCTGCCCCAAGGTACTAGGCTTTTGCTTGTTCTGTAGGTAGGAAGCCTGTCACTACATCTCACAGCCTCTGGTGCCTCTGCCGCCACCATCAAGTTACACAGGGATCTCACACGTGCTTTGCTGGTGGCTGTTTCTTAATGGTTGTGGGATTCCCTGTTCCTACTTCTGAAATGGCTCACTTTATACCCAGCAGAATGACAAAACTAATTAATCTCTGCCTTACAGTGCCTTACACCTGATTTGCATGCTTCTATCTACCTAGTCATTTGGTGGGAGTTACAAAGATTATGAATAGAAGCATACCACGTAATTTCATTTGACTGTACTTTGAAAAGCATCAAATTAAATGATTTCTCCTTATTACATATAGTTGTCTCCTCCCAAAATACAAAATAGAATCCTTAATAGACCCTTTGATATGTTACTTCATTTATTCTTCAACCCACAAGACTAGTGCGGTCATCTCATGTTATGATTTTCAAATTTTCAGAGATGAGGACATTTGAGTTTTCAGCTAAGCAACTAACGAGGAGGAAGTGGCACAGTTGGAATTTGAATTCAGAAAAGTCTACTCCGAAGACTGGTTTTGAGCCTCAGGCTGTTCTACCTGTCTGTGTGAGGCTATTAATTCTGTATCTTCCCGTGGCACAGGTGCGTTATTTAGTATGGTTCTTTCTAGCCATAGTTTTAACTCCCACCAAATGACTGAGTGAAAACATACAAATAAGGTGTATGGGACTTTGATAAGGGGGGTGATCAGTTTTACCAACCAGTATGAATAAAATGAGCCATCTCAGAAGCAGGAATGTTGGCGATGGGGGGGCCGCCCAAACCATCAGGAAAGAAAATGCCACCAGCTGCAGAGGCATCAGCACTAAAAGCATGTCGGACAAGTGGGCTTCCCAGTTGACAGAGCAAGTGAAACATGGCAAAGCTGTGTGTCCTCTGGGCATTTATTGGCAGAGCTAAAAGAGCTTTGTAACACTTGCTTGAGCAGGACAGAGGTCCTGGGGTTGTAGGGCTGAAGACTAGCCAGAGAGGTATACCTGCACTTATAACTGAGAATAGGTGCTTCTGACTCAACTGTGCAAAGGCACCTGACTATGTAGATCATAACAAACTATGGCTAGCTTTGAGAACAGGAATTCCAGAACACTCTATGGTGCTCATATGGAACTTGTACACATATTAAGAGGCAGTTGTGGGAATGCAGAACAAGGGACTACTGCACAGTTTAAAATCAGGTAGGTGTGTGACAGTTGTATCCTTTCACCGTTATCTGTTCAATCTATATGCTGTGCAAATCAGCAGAGAAACTGGATTATATGAAGAATATGGCATCGGGATTGGAAGAAGGCTTATTAACAACCTGCAATGTGCAGATGACACAACCTTGCTTGCTGAGTGTGAGGAGGACTTGAAGCACTTGCTGATGAAATCAAGGTTATCAGCCTTCAGTATAGATTACAACTCAATGTAAAGACTGAAATCCTCACAACTGGACCAGTAACATGATAAATGGGAAAGGTGGAAGAGACTGAAGTTGTCAAGGATTTTGTCCTGCTTGAATCCATAAGCAATGCTCATGGAAGCAGCAGTTAAGATATCAAATGACACTGCACTGGGTAAACCTGCTGCGTATGACCTCTGTATGAGGATTGAAAAGCAAGAATGTTACTTTAGAGGGGCAGAGCAGCGAAAGAGAAGCCCCTCGAGGAGATGGACGGACACAGGGGCTGCAACAAGGGGCACAGGACCGGCAGTGTTTCTCTCTGCCATGCCTAGGATTGCTACTGGTCGGAACCGACTAAATGGCAACCTAAAACAACAGCTGGCTGGCACTATGTTTCTGTTGCTCACGTTGGCTTTCTCCCTCAGAGTTAAACTTTCCAACATGATGGGCGGTGTGTGCTCCCTTACCACTCCAGAGGCCTTGGGGGGCTGTTCCCATTTCAGTGGGCCCTGGAGGTGGGCACCACTGCTCACCTCCGCCCTCCAGTTGTAAGATCACAGCAGGTTTGAGAAGCGGAAACCCTGGTCAGAGGAGACAACACGAGAGACAGATGAGTAATCGCCAACAGAGGACTTCTATAGCTCTTCTCAGTGTCTCAGCAATGGGCTCCAATTCATGACGTCTACGGGAAAGGGGGAGAGGAGTGTCTTGAGGTGTGGTCTTGGGTAGTGTGGGGACTAGGAATCGCTCAGACTGCAGGCCTTGGAGAGCTCAGGCAGTGTAAACCAGGAGATATTGCTCAAAAGGATACCATTCTGTGACTTTGGTCTGAATTATTCCGAGGGCCCATGGAGAGACTTTGGAAGAATACGAACAGTAAGAATAAACTAGAAGGCATAGCTATGGAACAGAAAGTTACTTTCTCCCCAGAGCATCCAAAACACAGCTTCTATTAGTAGAGCAAAAGTTCACACTGGTCTCAGCCAAGTTCTACACTGGCACCCAAAAGGACATGGAGTTCCCTTTCCTCTGAGTCTAGGAAATTACAAATCTCTACCCACTTGATAAAGAATTACCAAGACCCCTGCCCATAACCTTTGAAGGGGAAGGGGCAGGAAACCCTAAATGGCAGAAGCTGGGCTCCAGGGGAAGGAGGAGCTTACCTAGAGAGGCCACAAGCCCATAATTCTCCAGCATCACATCCCTGTACAGGGCTCTCTGTGGGGGAGACAGACCATCCCATTCCGTCTGCGTGAAGTACACAGCCACGTCCTCAAAGGTCACCAACTGCTGAAACAACAGGATCCTGCTGCCCCAGGGCCAATTCCATGGCTCAGGCCCTAAGTGAGGGGCAGAGGGCAGTATAAGGGATCGGGGAGGGAGCTTACAAGACGCGCCATTAGTCAGAGAAAAGCTTTTAGGAAAACCACCTGGAAATAGAGCCACAGAGTTCCCAGCTCTATTGCAGCAGAGAAGCCTCATGCCATTTTTCATATTTATTAAAAAAGTTGAGATTCAAAAAACTGGTTTTTTGGCCACAATCAAATGCCCCTAAAGCAGCTCTAGTTATTATTATTTTTAATAAACAGTTTTGTTAGGACATACTCAAAATATCATGCAATAGTTCAATCATAACAAGAAGTGTTGTACAACCACTACCACAATCAATTGTGGGACATTTTCTTGTTGCTGGCCCTCCTTATTATTGGCTCCCGTTTCCCCCTCAGCCCCCCCTGCTGTACCTCAAAGGAACCATTAAGGCGGTTACTACCTGGAGCTGCACCACCTCTGTGAGTTTAGACAGGCTGTTTACACCACTCGGTCCCTCCTGGCGGAAGAGGGCCAGGAGAGGTTCCCCAGAAGTCCCTTGATGCCCTGGGGAGGCCTTGGCTCCTCCAGCCTGTTCCCCATGCTAGCCTTTGCTGTTCTGCTCCCCAAAGCGCACCCTCAAGCCTCAGCCACCCTCCAAAAAATGAAGACCAGTCTTGGTCTCCATTTCATGCAGCCTCCAGCTCCTGCCTGATTCTGGATAGAGACCCCTCCACTCCCACCCCCCCGAGGCGCTGTGCAGCCTCTGCTCACACAGCTTTAGCAAATGAAGCAGCTCCTCCCCATGGAGCTTCCAGAGAAGCCAGCATGTTCTGTGCCGTCTCCAATTTCAGCCTTGTCCTTCCCAAATTCTCCCACGGCTTCACCATTTCTCCCAAGAGTTGAGAAAAAGGCAATTAAACTTTAGGTTGGCTAGCCTCTCTGCCCCCTTAGGCTTCTCCTCTTTGCATCACTAAATCATGTGGTCAGCATAGGACTGCCATTCAGGCCTGATGCTGGGGACCCTGCGCAGACCTCGCCCCGTGCCAGCAGCTCCCGACTCGGCTGCTTCGCCCTCAGCCACCTCAGTCTTTTGCAACAGTTCTGCACAGATTTCCCTCTCAGCGCCTCTCTAAGACTTGCCTTGCTTGATTCTACTGTCCAGAACAATTCAGTCAAAAGTCTGGATGATTCTGAGTGTTTCTGGTGACCTTGAACAGGTCACGTAATGTCTGTACAAAATTAAATACCTTCACTGCCCACCACCAACACCCTCTTCCCAGGTGAACTGGCTCCTCCTCTAGAATCCAGATCACAGCTGGTCTCCTCACCACCCACCATCTGGGTACTGGTCTCCTCCCTCTCCCTTCCTCCCACCTCTTCTTGGCAATTCTCGGTGTCCTAAAGATCACTGTCTTAAGCATTGCATGGAGCTGACCATCCCATTCCATCTGCGTGAAGTATAAGCCCCCTTTAGCAACTACTCTCTGAAGGAGTCACCTTGCTTTGGAACCTGCCCTTAAAATCCTCCCATGCACACCTGTCACAAACCTGACCAAGCGAACATCACTGGCTCCCTAGACTTTATCCAGCTCAGTGGTTAATAATCAGATTAAGGGTGCAACCTGTGGCAACTTACCCTCCTTTGCCTCCACTTCTTTACTATAGGTGAGCACAACAAAGCACCCATTTCAGAGGACAGTGGCTGCAGCACTCCAAAACCACACTCTATGCCTTTAAGTCAATTCTGACTCAGAGCAAGCCTAGAGTACAGGGTAGAAAGAACAAGGCGGAACTGCCCCTGTGGGTATCTGAGACTGTAACTGTGTATCTCTGTATGGGAGTAGAAAGCCTCTTCTTTCTCTCTCCACGTGGCTAGTGGTTTTGAACTGCTGACCTTGCAGTTAACAGTCCAACTTGTTACCACGATGCCACTTGGGCTCCTCGCCTACAGCACAGCACACCTCAAATGATGCTACTTGTCAGTGTTGTTCCTATGAGTATTTCCAACCTGCAATCCCAGATAGGAGCTTCAGAGGGTCCATGAGGTTCTAGAAATTGCATGGAGAATTTGGTTTGAATGTTCACCTTTCTGAAGAGCAGATCGAGCACTCTCATCAGCGACCTAAAGACAGGTCTGCAACCCAATCCCTGAAAGGCTCGCAAGGAAGCCATGAGACATCTTGTCCCACTGGACTTCCCTGCCTTTTCCCTTCTTGACCCTACCCCTTCCCATGTCTGAATGAGAGGCTCAGTTGTCCTTTACACTGATCTGTCTCTGCCACCCACACACCTACATGTCATACTAAGTCCCAATCCTCACAGTCTCCTCCACTCATACCCGCACACAGAACACCCCATAGTTTCTGTACCCCCCGCCCAGACCCTTCTGCTGGGGGAGCTCCTGCAGCAGCACAGAGCACGCTTCCCACCACACCTCTGCTGGGCCCGCCATCTCCCTACTCTGCAGTCTCTGTGCCAATCTGGCACATCGCCCCTTTCCACAGTCTCCTGGCAGAAGCATCCTGCGGCTCATCAGCTCACTTGGTCTGTTCTCTCCATTTGAAGCAGTGTAGAGGAAGAGCTGAGGACCCACAGCTCACCTGGGGCCAGGCTGTCAGGAACATGTCTGTCACCAACGGTTCACCTCTCACAGAAAGACTGTGGCTGAGGGGGAAAAAGAGAGAGAGAGAGAGAGACAAGTGAGCCCCTTACAAAAGCTCTTCAATGCAGGTGGCTCACATTCAAATAACGTTGAGAGTGGTCCTGTGGTGGGAAGTTGTGATCTCAGCACAGGCTCAACCCCTGACGCTGGTGCTGGTGTTCACTGTCAGGAACCTAAAGATTTTACAATTCTGACATCATACCATACATACAAGAGTGTATATAAGATGTATGCAGAGCCTAAAGAATAATACAGCAAAGACTCCTGTCTGTGACTTAGCTCCAGAAAAACATCACCAAGACCTTCAGTATAATTGCAAGAGAAGCTAGGCTGCCTGGGCTGCTGCCCCAGCATGGAGGCGCAGAGCCCACCCAGGAAGACAGTATCTGGTGAAGGGGCAGCTGCCTCTTTACAGAGCTCAGGTCCTGAAGGGTCTTAATGCTTGTGGAAAACTTCCGTAGCTATGCTTTCAAACACCCTGGAGAGTTGGAAAGAAGATAGTAAACCATCTAGATATATGTGCTTAGCAATAGATTCCTAGAATTTTTTTTAATAAAAAGGGGCAAATATGGAATGTACAAACAAAAAGGACACAAAAAAGATACAGCCAGGGCATCTAGCTGAAAAGCAACAAAGCCCACATGGAAGAAGCACACCAGCCTGTATGATTACGAGGTGTCTGTGGGATCAGGTATCAGGCATCAAAGAACAAAAAATCATATCATTGTGAATGAGGGGGAGTGAGGAGTAGGGACCCAAAGCCCATCTGTAGGCAACTGGACATCCCCTGACAGAAGGTCTCGGGGAGGAGACGAGCCAGTCAGGGTGCAGTGTAGCAACGATGAGACATACAATTTTCCTCTAGTTCTTGAATGTTTCCTCCCCCCTCCCCCCTCCCACTATCATGATCCCAATTCTACCTTACAAATCTGGCTAGACCAGAGGATGTACACTGGTACAGATAACTGGAAACACAGGGAATCCAGGATGGATGATCCCTACAGGACCAGTGGTGAAAGTAGCGATACCGGGAGGGTGGAGGAAAGGTGGGGTAGAAAGGGAACTGATCACAAGGATCTACATAGAACCTCCTCTCTGGGAAACGGGCAACAGAAAAGTGGGTGAAAGGAGATGTCAGACAGTGTGAGACATGACAATAATAATTTATAAATTATCGAGGGTTCGTGAGGGAGGGGGTGGTGGGGAGGGAGGGGAAAAATGAGGAGCTGGTATCAAGGGCTCAAGTAGAAAGAAAATGTTTTAAGAATGATGATGGCAACAAATGTACAAATGTGCTTGACACAATGGATGGATGGATTGTGATGAGTTGTATGAATCCCCAATAAAATGATTTAAAAAAACAACAACAACCAATAATCACACAAGGACACTAAACAAACAAACAAAAGACACAGCCAGGGCTTTGAACTGGTTCATTCTGGTTGGACACCCCTACCCTCACCCCCACCCCACCCCCGCTTTTCTGAGAATTTGCATTTCTACCCCAGATAGCCTCCCTTGTGAGTATATACCCCAGATTTACTCTCAGAAAAGTATATTAGACCTGAGAAAATATTCAATCTACATTTTAACAAGATCTCCCAGGTGATTCTTATAACAAAGTGGGATCGTGTTAAAAATATAGATTCTCATTCAATACATCTGGGATGGAAATACAAGCTCTCAGCAGGAGGTCTACCCAGAATGCACAAGTTGGAATCTCTGAATGCAGTTGTAAATAATGGGGAATAACAGGCATACCACAATCCTGAGATGACAGAAAAATGAAAGAAAAAATCCTAAGACTAGGGGGACAGAAACCCCCTGACAAACCCCAATGGGAATGAGTCAATTCCAACTTAAACAATGACCCTATGGGGCATAGTAAAACTGCTTGCTCCCTCGGGTTCTGTCTCAGTCTTTATGGGAACAGACAGCTTCATCTTTCTCCCATGGGGCAGCAGGTGTGCTTGAATCACAAACCTTGCAGTTAGCAGTCCAACACTTAACTTACAGCACCACCTGGCTCCTTAGGGGAACAGAAAACCAAAAAACAAAACTCACTGCAGTCAAGTTGATGCAGATTCATACTGACCCTAAAGGACAGGGTAGAACTGCCCCTGCTGGTTTCCGATACTGTAAGTCTTTATGGGAGTGGAAAGTCTGGTCTTTCTCCCCATAGGTACAGAAGAGCCCACTAATGCTGAGACAGCAGGGGAGATAAGAGTCGGTTTGGATATCTTCCAGGAGTAAACAGCTGCGACAGAATAGACTTAATTGTTCACAAATGAAAGGAGATCTTATGAGTGAAGACTAGACAGGTGTGAAATGGGAGAACAACCTTTTCAGAAAATAAAGAAAACTAAACAAAGAACGGTTCTAGAAACACAGCCTGGCTGTACAGTACCTGGATCTAAAAAAACCTGTCGGGGTGGTACATTCAGTAGCCTGCCAATCTCCCTTCAGCAGGGGTGGCTTCTGGAATGGTTAAGTCACTTGAGAGTCACTGGTGGCACTGTCTGGTAAGCACTGGACTGCTGACCTCAAGATACACGGTTCAAACCCACCAGACACTCCACAGAGAAAGATGTGGCTGTCCGGTTCCATGAAGAGTTACAGACTAGGAAGCCCATTAGCCCAAATCTACTCTATGGTAGTGGGGCGCACACAGACAGAAAGCAGCAGGGTTGTTTCCTTCTAGGGCAAAGAAAGCCCCAGGAGGGTGCCTTCCAGAGCCCAGCTTCTGTTGGTCCCGGATGGCTGGAAGGGGCCTTGATTCATAACCCTTTGCCAGGAGCCAGGAAGCCCCGCCCCGACGACTTCAACATGCCCAGTGATGTTACCGTGGATCCCTTCATGGCTGAACATACTCCACCCCTGGCTTACTTTTATCCCCAAACTCGGCAGCACCTTCCCTGGACAGATCAAATGCTAAATGTTCGGGGCCTGGTGGTTGGGACGGGAACTCAGGCTCCGTCTTGCCCAAGTCAGAACGTATGAGGCCACCGTGTGCAAAGCTGGAGTCCAGGAAGGGTGAAAACGACCCCGGCCCGCCGCCTGGCTCCCTCTCCTGAACTCAGTCAACCGCATAAAGGACGCAACCGCCTCCGGGTGGAGGCGCATCCTACCTACAAGAACCCTGGGGTCCAAGACAGCGCCCAGGACGCTCGCAAGCCGGCACTTACCTCCGCAGCCGGTAGCTACGCGGCGCGGCCGGAAGTGCGTCACCGAGTCGACGCCGGGCCTCTCTAGGATCTGGGTTGCTCTTTCTCAGTGGTGACACTCCCCCACCCAACGCAAAAACCTCTGTTCCGTGGGGCTTTGAGCTGATGATCCAGTATCTAGACCTTCCTAATGCCGCGACCCTTTAATACAGTGGTGACTCCCCCCCAACCATAAAATTATTTTCGTAGCTACTTCATCACTGTGATTTTGCTACTCTTGTGAATCAGGCAACCCCTGTGAAAGGGGTCGTTCGACCCCCAAGGGAGTTGCGACCCCCCCCCAGGTGGAGAACCGCTGATCTAGCAGCTATAAAGGACTTTCAAAACTAAACCGTAAGAAAGAAACAAAATTAGGGGGGAAAGCTAGAAAATATGGAGAGAGACTTGGCCAAAGAAGATATATCGGTGGCAAATAACCACAAGAAAAATGTTCAAACATCAGCAGCCATTATTGTTGCTAGATGCCTTGGCAGTTTCTTCTGAAAATGAGGCATGGCACAGCAATTGCACGTCTGGGCCATTTCCCCAGAGAAATAAAGATGTAGGTTCATACAAATCCTGTACTGTAGTATTTAATAGTAGCTTTCTCCATATTCAAAAACCTATAGTTTTATTTAATATTTATTTATTTAGTAATAGTCTTATAATAGCCCCAAACTGGAAGTCATCAATGGTGAGTAGCTAATTCATCCATGAAATACTACTCCAGAAATAAAAATTATTGAACTGTCGATACATGCAACAAACTGGGTGAATATTAATCTGCAGAGAATAATGTTGGAAAGTGGGGGAAGGCAGCCCAAAATGTTAAATGTTTATATAATGCTCTTGAAATGACAAAAATGATAGAAATTGAGAATACATTCGTTGTTTCCAGGGGTGAAGGAGGCGGTTGAGTGGGGTGGGAGAAAATAAGTATGGCCATAAAAGGTAGCCTGATTCTTTTGGTGATGGAAATGCTCTGTATTTTGACTTATCGATGTTAGTATTGATAAGATTGTAGTATTGTACTATAGTTTGCAAGACGTTACCCTTGGATGAGTTCCTGAACGCAGGAGGAAAACAATCCTAGGGAATTGGCAGCATCCCACCCCAATGTGCAAGTGTTTATAGAACTGTCCAAGGACCAGATAGAAAACAGGTGACCTGGGCTGCTGTCTGAGGTGCTAATTTATCTTGGGCTGTTTGTGGAGCTCTCCGAGGTTCTGGATCTAACCCTCAGGACCATTGCCTGGTGTGGGTCCTAACCTTCACGCTGATCTCCTGACACTTGTCATCCTATTTCTTTCCTGAAATCCAACGGGACTAAACTGGACCCCTATCACCTAGTGGCCCATCCCTTGCATGTCTCTGCCTATAGACCAACCTCAGAATTCAAGGACAAGAATTTATCATAGACCTAAATGGTCAGGGAAGGCTTTGAGGAAACTTTGTTGTTATGTTTTTACAAATACCTTAAAGTTACTATAAAATTCATGAGAATACACATAGATGCTTTGAAAAGACAAATTGGATATTGTTCTTGATAACAAAAATTATATAATAAAAAGATGGAGAATTCATATGCTCTAATAACTATTCATCACCCTTCAACTCTTTTCCTAAATGAGTTACCTTGCATGCAGTGAGTGTAAGCCACAAAAAACTTTTACTTTAAAATCACTTTTTAAAAAATTTTAATCATTTTATCAGGGGATCATACAACTCTTATCACAATCCACACATACATCA